TTTAATTCAATGTATTCATAGTGGAAAACGTTAAAAATGAGCAGCAGAGAACTTTTGATATTCTTATTCTTATTCTTGACTCTCTTATTTGTTAAGCTTGCTGAACTACACAACTTCCAATCATACCAACAACAATGTGCTGATACCATCTTTTGCGCTCCGATACTGTTACTTTGCCCACTAGCGCCAATTTTAATCAAATAACAAATATTCTCTTTGTAGCTCTAGTAGTTCAATGAAAGAAATATATGAAGAAAATATAAACTAATTTCATGAATTCTTCATTCTCGCTCATGAATTCTTTGTACATCCCCCAACCGCACGACTCATACAGAGTAAAAAAAGTGGCGCTTTTGATAGAATGTATACAGTCCATCAACTTCGCCACTGTTTTCATGCTTGGCTTTTTATTAGTTTTTTAGGGTAAAGCAGGCAACACACTACAATTAAACAGTGTCCAGTTTTGATATGAGTGTTCAGGATGACACCGCTTGACCTGAAGCTGATGGTCCCTCTCTACTGTGTGTGCACCATTGTTAGGGGGCTGTAGTCTGGACATGTTTGGTTATTTATAGCCTCTAGTTCACCGATAACCACCCTACTTTCTGCTTTCTCTCATGGCCATTATCAGTTGGCATATTTTCCCTTGTTGTGGCAGCAACATTGACTCACGCATGTTGTGCAAGTAACTGTCCAACAGTGATGACATGAGGAAACCACTGTGCACTTTGTCACAACCCAAACCGCAAAGTAACTTGAAACCATCCATCCATCCATTTTCTACCCCTTAATCCATTTCTGGGTCGGGGGGGTGGCAGTCAGAGCTGCACCCAGCTCTGACTACTATAAAGGCACCAGCCCCTTTATAGACATGTTTGTATCACCTGTGTAGTTGTATAGAATGCAGATAACGTGCTAATTGCTCAGTGTTGCACAGAGACAGTAGTGAGTCGGTACAGACACGTGAGATAATGGCTCTGGAAAAGCAGAACCTGTCTGTCGCTGTGTGAAATATTGACTGTATACAGTCAGTGTATTTATATGAACAGAGAATATGGACTGCGCTACACAACCAGACTCAATTCACAGACCCAGACCGGTCACTATATATTTGGAGCACAATATTCTATTGAGTACAGAGTATTATTTTCATTGTCTTGTCAAGAACAGAGCATATCGCCACAGCTTCTCATGGGCTGTCCAAGACTGGCTCACATTAACAGTATAACAGAGGGGCTATGTTATTTACATTCTCAATACAATATGGGTTTATTTGATAGCACCTACAAAGCATAAAGGGAGCTAAAACAAACTTGCTCCTTACTCTACTTCTAGCTATGCTTTTTAAATAGTAGATACTTTGCTGTGTATTTTATTTGCAGACAGCTCACGTTTTGAGACGTCAATTAAGGCCTGGATTGACAAATGTTGATTTAATTATAATTCTCTTTGAAACTGAAGCTAGTTCTCTTTTGTCTTGCTTTAAATTCCTCATAGCAGCTCTCTGGATTCACTTAATAGGAGGAAGAACTGAGCCATGCACCATTATGTGCACCATTCCCCAGAGCATGCCCTGCAAACCTTGCAGCCTAAGGCCCTGACTCCCCCGGCTGCGTAAAACGTACTACGTATCCATCCAAACGTGTCCGTTTCATCTCCGTGTCCGTTTTTTCCATGATAGTGAATGGAAGTGGCTCCACTGCCCGCGACATGCGTTTGTATGAGTCGCGTAGGGAGCAATGCGGCCACGCAGAAAGCAGAGGACGGACAAAATAGAAACAATCTTATTTTTTACTTACGTCGACGTGCGTATGGTCTGTTTTCCATTGGAAATAGAAGGGAAAAATATATTTACTACATTATTATACATGTATTGATATATGCTTGTAGTCCTTGGTTATTAAGTGTTTGTTAATGACAATGATTATTAACAAATTTGTGCAGTTTTTGTTCATGTATTAAATTTAAATAATTGTTTCCTGATAGTAAATCTGCCGTTTATTAATGTCAATATTGACTCGTGTAATGTCAATATTGACTCGCTTTCAAAAAAGCCTGTATATGATGGAATTATTTTTTAACTCCATCTCTTTTTACCAATTGCTTTCAATAAGTTTTGCCTCATCCATCGCAACGTCCTCGCGATGGATGTTTTAATTTCGAGTCTGAAATTAAAATGAAGCCCTAAACGCAGTGCAGGCCTTATTTTTGACCTGCTTTAAAGACTTGGTGCAGGCCTTGTTTGAGACCTGCTTTAAAGACCCAGTGCAGGCCTTGTTTTAGACCTGGTCATTCAGTGTCATTAGGCCAACACTCCTGAGGCACATCTCCAAAAAATGTCAGATTGAGCTTCTCTCTGCTTCTATAACACCTTGTACATATGATTTATCAACACTCTTCTAGAACTATGTCCCAAAAGGAGGGTGAGATGCGTCTGACTCCTTTGAAACCAATCAATCCACAACATGACTTCATCCAAGGGTCATATTGGTTACAGACCATTGGCTTTAGGTGACACCTGGTATTATACTGAATAACTGTTTTTTGGCATTCACCGACTAGATCATGAAACACCTCTCATTTAAATGGCCCATATGTCTGTCTCAGTGTCCATCTGCTGGGCCCAGTGTGGAACTAAACTATGTCCCAGGTCAGCATGCAGATTGTGCCAGGGCAGAAGCAAAACCGTACTAAAACACAAGGTTCTGGGCCGACAGAAGGGCTCTGCGTGTTGGTAATGAGAAAACGTCCTCATGCATGAAGCCACCTCCAAACAGCCTGCACTTCTCGGAAAGACACGCCCTCTTTCTTTGTGGCCATACCTGCATAGGAACGCCTGATCTCCTCACTGGGCAGTACTGTTATGGGAGACTGCTGGGATTTCCAGGTGTCACAGTGTGATGTTGTTGTGTCCTTGTGTTGGGGCTAGATACTTTGTCACATTGTCTAGTATGAGTCTATGAGTGTGTGAATGATTTGGTGATGGTCGGAGAAGAAGATGGCGTTGATGAGCCGCTTAGTTTCTGTTAGTTTATCCCAGGGCAGCTGTGGCTCCAGTTTGAATTATTAATGCCATGATAACTTTACCCATACTTTATTGTAGTTGCATTTATACAGTACACACACAATTTATCTCTATCAGTCCAACTGCTCAACTGTTTGATTTTTGTGCAAGAATTTGTGCAAGTTTTGGACATGGATCATCAATTTGTGCTAATTGATGATCCATGTGCCAATCATTTTAGCATGCACACATTATTCCGGCACTGACAAACATTTATTTTATCCCCGACATCAACAACATATTTGGAAAATGATCATCTATAATATATTTTATAATTCAATAAGAAATGAGTGTGCTTTTTAATCCTGTTTTTGAACGGATTTTAATAAGTTTTAATATGTTTCTCAAATCACATATAACATATTCCTGATAGATTGGAAAGTATTTTGTTCACAAACTTGAATGAATTGTAGTGGAGCAGTGTTATCTGTGAAGAGCCAGGCTGGAGCCATATGCATGTGGTGAGATCGACACGATGAGCACAACATACAGATAAGAACATATCCGGCCCTGTCCTGTTATAGATCAGTGGTCCTCGTTGTGAAAGTCACTCATGTAAATAGAAGCGTGGTGTATTTATACAGGCCTGCATGATTGATCTGAAACATTAGGCCGTCCTCCAGACCAGTGCACACTTACCCAACATAAACATGCACACCGTCTCACTGAGGGACCTCTTTGCTCTCACTGGAAGTTTGAAATGTGCTACAAAGCGCTGAGTATATGAAAAAATGAATCTGGTCATAAATATACTCTTAATTTGTATTTCCCAAATTCAAAATATCATGTTCCTAGTTTATGCTTAATGCACTTTCTTATTTATAACAAGAGAATGTTCTTGGACTGTTGTTGTTTGTATAGTATGGTAATCTTTTTGTATTATTTGCTGTTCACCCCAGCTTCATTGCCTAATGGGTTCTTCAACAGTTATGGTGAACTGTGACAATATAAAACTAAATCCTCCAAATGTATTCTTTTACTTAAAGTCTGAAGGTGTCCCCTTAAATGCCTAATGTCTAAAATGTCAAACACACCAGGTGGCATGACTATTTTCACTCCTCTTTGCCAGTGTATTTTTATGTGTGATTGGTGTGTGTGGCCCTTCCTAGTGCCCATCTCAACCAGATGTGCAGCTTGTCTGTTTGCTTCTGTAACTTTGTGACCGAGGCCCATGTGTTCGCTTGGAGACAACATTGACATTTAAAGCAGCAGGATATGGCTGCCACTCACACCATGTGCCTAAATATCAGCTTAGACCACTTATTATGGCTTGTCCACGATTTGCCTTCGCCCTTTGGCTTCTGTCTTTGAGGCTTTGGTTATAATAGTTCCCCGGCCACCTGTGTAGACCTCACCCAGAGAGCAGAGCGCTAAAACAAGACTTCAAAGTATCTGTGTCGTGGTGTGAGCAAAGAGCAATTTGAAATGCATTAACAATAGTCATCAATGAAGTATGCTAATGATAGCTTTAGATCTATGTTAAAAATAGACATTTGCAGGAGTTTTGTTTGCTTTATTTATCCGTGTAGGCCAATTTGCCCTCTGCATTTGACACATGCGGTAATGCCATCAGGGTAATCAGGAGAAGTGTTCACAGTGTTTATATATCTATTTTCTCCAGATCATGACGCTCGGATCATGTTTAGTCAGGAATACCCAAGTAGCAGGATTTTACCAATGGTGCTTTTTTTGGGGGGGTTTGGGTTTGCAAATAACGTAAATATTTCAAAGAATAAGTTTTAAACAAATACTGTAGCAAAAGATCAGACACAATTATGTTTTGTGAAACGCATCATTTCCAGATAGAACACGCACTGATTGTGAAAAGGAAGTTTTGAAGCTGTATTTTATTTCTCAGATACAGTCCTGTTATTGTCCAATTGTTGATAATGTGTATTTGTGAAGTTTTAAGTTTTTTTGTGTGTGTTTATTTCAGGATCATTCACGAGGATGGTTTTTCTGGTGACGATGTGAAGCAGTACAAGCCGGTCGTGTACAGCAACACCATCCAGTCTCTCGCCGCCATCGTTCGTGCCATGGACACACTGGGTTTGGAGTACGGGGACAAAGAACGCAAGGTCAGCTCTCGCCCACACAAAAAAAACAAATGCTTGTTTTAAATCAGCACAAATTCTTTATCAGCCAAGCTCACCAAACATGCGAACATAGTGTCTTATCTCAAGTTCAGAACTGTGAATTCAGTCAGACAAAACTGAGATCCAACCCAAATGTGACTTTTTGCTCATTGCAGATACCAACCCACTCATAATAGTGTTGGATATTGTTAAAGCTGGAGTGCCTAAATTTGAAACCACAAAGAAATAACTATTTCAGTTCAGTAAAAGATTAAAAGTTAAAGACAGAATGTTGTGGTCTGACTTGTTCGCAACATGTTTCTTAATTAAGACTTTTCTGTTGGAACACAATGTATTTATGAAACAGAAAAAAGCAAAGTAAATAGAACACAGATCAGTTAATTTGCAAAATAAAGAGTAACAATTTGCCCTTTACTGAATTATTTCCTGAAAAGCCAGATCAATTTACAGTTGTGTGGCATCTTGAGCAAATTCTTTTAAATTCCCTGCCAATTATAAAACATGTTGAAGATTGTAGTTGGAGGAATATAACTTTTTAACAAATGTTCCAAACTCCTGCTGTTGCACTTGTATTTTTTTGTCTTTGTGGACCAATGGCTGGTGTATTGCTTGACCTTCCAATCTGCTATTGGCAAATCAACAATTGTGTGAAGTAAAATAAGATCTACCACTTTCTAGATTCAGTTCTGCTGTGGTTCACATGTTTTCCCCTTCAAAGGCCGGCACTGGGAGATTTTTAAAAACGGTGCTGATTCTAACATTTGTGCTCAGAGATTAACCTTGTGTGTCTGTAAGCACCGGTAATTTTGACTGTAAATCTCTTGCCTGGAATTGATCTGTCAAAAATTGAAAATCTTGTTGTGTAGTGCAGACACACACCAGCAGTCAGGAACAGACTGACACTGCCCCATGTGTAAACTAGAGACGCACACATTTCAGACTGTTTTTTTAGCTCTATGTCTTCTATTTTCTTGTTCTAAAATTATGTTTTCCAGACAACTGCATCACCAGTTTTATTTTTCACACAATGTTTTGCTGTGATGGTGATGGTAGATGCAATAACATGGTTTGATGGGTTTGTCAGTTGCAGAATACAAATAAATGCATGTCAGCAATATTGACTTTTCCAGAGCTTTTGAAAAATGACAGACATTGTGGAAAAAATAGAGAGAAAAGTCATTGTAAAATTCTTTCAGTTATTTAGTATGATGGAGTGTAGAAAGGATCATAATAGGAGTGGACTGACCAAGTGCTATTGTCATCATAGTTTTTGCCGAATGCGGAAACATGTTGCCGATTTGAACATAAGCTAGCTGGGGCCAATTTCCTTTATATGGGCATTTGGTCTGATGGTGTTAGCTTCACTCTGCAATAGGGGCAGATGTGATGCCAAGAAGACTTTTAAGGCAAGCTGGTGATTTCCCTGTGAATTAAGGCATTTGATTGATCCTTTAAATATCCATATAAAAAGGGCCGAAATCACAGAAAACACATATTTTTTAAGCCCAAAGTAGTGAGCGTGAAACAAACGGTTACTGAGCTAAAGGAGTTTAATCCGATGGAAGAAGCCAGAGCGAGTTGGAGCAAAACTTTGTCTATGAGCACTTATTGGGCTTGTCCATCTTTATAAAGTCTATGGTCTGCCTCAACTTCGACTTTGGCTGTCAGTGGCAGCTATAATCATGTTTATTTATGAAAATATTTACTGCAGGCGGCTCTAATGCTGCCAGCTAACTCCATCAAGTTCTAACCCATTACCATCATGCCAATCGGAGTTTGTCATCCTAATCCCTGCACACACATTTAATATGATCATGTTCAGTGTCACCAGTGGCATCTCTTTTCAACTGCAGCATTTCTTTCAGCCATAACCATCATTCAACATGTAGAGCTGCTCCTAAATGATTACATTATGAATAACAATACTCCAGGAAACTGCAGGCATGATTAATCAGAATTAAAGTTGTAAACGCTGGCCATTGGTTATAGTATCAATTTTAGGCCTCAGAGCCCTTTCATCTTGATACTTATTATAGGCACACCTAAATTATTTATGAGATGTCTATCATTCCCCAAACTCACATTATCTCTTTAAAATACACACCACAGCGCCTCACAGAAGCACCAGAAAGGCGCATGTCATTGCTCTTAACCTTCTCCAGAGGCACAGAATATTTTTATTCACAAGACGTCCATTGATACTTAGTTAGAGGGCTGAAATAACAATACATCTATTGATTGAGAATCCAATATTGGTGTGCATGAGTGTGTGTGTGTGTGTGCGTGTGCGTGTGTGTGTGTGTGTGTGTGTGTGTGTGTGTGTGTGTGTGTGTGTGTGTGTGTGTGTGTGTGTGTGTGTGTGTGTGTGTGTGTGTGTGTGTGTGTGTGTGTGTGTGTTTGTCTAAAGGGGAAGAAGTGCCCTGGGTTGAAGGAACATTTTACATTTTTTACTGGACAAATGGTCATTTGGGACATGGATTATTCTTATCCATCTTTACGCTCCCCATAACAGCCCACATCCCACTACTGGCCATTCAGACTGGAATTGTCAGAACAGAGAAAACTTCCCTTAGAGTAACTAAACTTCAGTGTCAGATCTGAGCTTTAGCTGAATATAGCGCTTTTCACAGACCACAAATGACAATTTTTGGAGTATTATTCATCACTACCTACACAATGGTGGTAAACCACGTCTGAAGCAACAGCTGCCCTGAGGTAGACTGACAAAGGTGAATAAGACAGCTTTCGTTAAAATGGAAAGTGACTGTTGACCTATGTAAATGTAGACAAATATTCATGTGTTTTTCCTATTTGACTAAAATCAATAAAGATATTGGGGGGGGAAATGAGAAGTGACAGCAGATACATTGCTCTCTTCATTGCTTTAAATGCCACCCGTGTGAGCTGCATTACTTTGTACCTCCCCCCCAGTGTATCTCTTGAACTTTGTGATTGTTATTTTGGCTTTTATAAAATTGTTATATTATGTTTTTAGGAATAACACCCACACCCATGTTATTCATTTAATCGCTGATGGCGTTTTCACTTGTGTATGTGACCTTAGTTACTGTGGTAACATCATGTTTTGCTCTCTCCCAACACATTCCACAAGCCCATGTCCAAGGGTGCCGGGACGCATTCACCAGCTTGCACGTACAATGATAACAGGCTTGGAATAGAAAGAGACAGCCTCTGCACTGGGAATCTGCATGAGGTTTTTTAACTGGGTTAAACTGAAGCGTTTTGCTAACTGAACTTAGTGATGTAACTAGTTCAGCCTAATTTTAATAATATTTTAATTCTAAGTATGCATGATACAAATCCCTTGAGGTCTTTCATGTTTTGGGAACCTCTACAGTGTCCCTTGAATAGCAGCACTTGGTTTTAAAAGTAAGCCTAAAGCTAAAGCGAGCTGTAGGATTCTTGTCATCTTTCTTCCTCCAGAGAGTGTTCCAATGTGGGATGCACTAGCTTCGGGCTCCATTTTCTATACACTAATTGCTTGAGTGCATCCACACAATCCTCCCGGCACAACTTCCCACCCATACATTATGTTTGTGCATGTGCGCCTACAAGTAAACGTAGGATGTCTTCAGACCTTCTCAATAGGGAAGGGGGGAAAAGAGAAGAGGTGATTCCAGTAGACGGTGGTAATCCCAAATGTTATCACTGATGGAGGTGTCCAAACCCAAGCAGTTTGCCCTCACTAATCATGAAGTATGTTGATGATAACATACTTGTTCTTCATCACATTCAAAACTAAGGCTTTTTGATGCAAACCTTTTTCTTTCATCAATTTAATCTTGTAAGATTCACTAAAAAGCAATCAAAACAACTATAATATATGTTTTTTCCCTACGAAGACGAAATAGAAGAAATTCGAGGGCGCAGCTGCTCTTGTACGCACAACAGCACATAACAGAAAAAATTGAGGGATGGAAGGACATGAGTGGAGGAGAAGCAGCGTGCTCTCTCCTCCAGGACTATAAGCATGTGTCTGTGTCCAAGGGCAGGTCTGTGGGCAACGCCTCTGGTTCTGTCTGTGCTTCAAAACCATTCTCACCATGTCCCTCAGATTCATGAATATCCCTTGAATTTCAACCTTAGCCAAACCATTAAACTCTGGTGGTTGTTTATTTATTTTTTTTGATCATGGTGAATGATCAAAAAAATTGAATCTTTCTGTTGCAAAGAAAAAACTCCTGACCCCATCCATTGTATAGAAAATGGGATGGTTCAGTCAAGATGGGAAGAAGATTAGAGATAAGACACTTTAAGCCGTTTTTGATCAAAGTGTTGTATTGTGGTATTTATTCGTATTGACAAAACCAATGGGCGCAGTGGCCACATTATTGTGTTAGCATTACTCAAGCCGAGTATATGATCAGTTATGTAATGCATGCGGCTTTAAGTCTGTTTTTTAATATTGATTTCTTCCTGCCAGGTTAAGGTCATTGGTCACATCCAGTTGCTGTTTGAAGTTGCATTCTTTATTAAGTATGTGTATTTGAAGTGTGGCTCCTTCCTGCAGTGGAGCACTCTGATTTCTGCCCCTCCATCCTCCCGTTTTATTTTCAGCAGCAGTGTTCTCGCTTTGTTTCTGTCTTCAACTGGCTCGCTTTCTCTCCCCACAATAACTCCTCACATAGTTCTTCAGATTAATTCACCCACTATTGTCACTCCACCCTTTAGTCCTTACTGAATCATTGTTTTACCTTCTATTTCAAAACTTGAGCTATGAATTAAAAAAATTACTAAACTAAAATATAATTTATTCAGTTACATAGTGGGTTGACCATACATAAAGCCTTAATTAATGTATCCTTTAAGTGGGCCTAAAGCAATATCTAATGCTTCTGATATGTTTCTTTTTTTACCTCTTTAGTCCTCTTTGAAGTTTTCCTACTTTGAAAAAACTGGAGGTGGTTTCTTCTTTATATGAATGTCTCCCTCTATCTTTTATGTATTTACAAAAAAATCTG